ATTTTGGGGTCTCTATTCATGAAGGTCACCACTTATCTTTCAGTTTGCTATCATGACTAAAATGTTACTGTCCTTTCTTCTTTTTAAATGTGCTCATCTACTGTTATAAATATTCCACTGAGCACTGTTTTTGCTGTGTCCTAAGATTTTGATATATTGTCTATTCATTCTCATTTGATGCTAAAAATTTTAAAATTTCTTTTATGATTTACTAGTTTTTAAGAAACTTGATGCTCAGTTTCCATACATTTAATCTTTTTTCTTGCTCTTTTTGTTACTTTTAATTCAGCTTTGTAGCACTATGGCCAGAGAGATGCTTTGTGTTATGACTGTTTTTCCAATTTCTTGAGGTTTGGTTTGTAGTCCGAAATATGGGTCTGTTTAGAAGAAAAATCATATGCACTAGAGAAGAATATGTACTGTACTGCTGTTGGGTAGTGTCTTTGTCTGTGAAATCTAGTTGGTTGATTGTTTTTAGATCTTCAGAACTGAGTTTCTCACTAATTGTTCTATTCATTATTGAAACTTACATGACTCATCATATAATGGTAATAGTTACATTATTCATCATCAGAAAGTTTAATCTCTTACAATTATAGTAGAATTGTTTATTTCCTCTTTTAAATTCTGTTAGAGATAGTTTTATGTACTTTGGAAGTATGGTATTTGGTTCATATGTATTTACTATTTTTATGTCTTCTTGATGAATTTACCCTTTAATTGTGATACAGTGTCCTCCCTCATCTCTCATAAGTTTTATTAAAAGCTTACTTTACCCCAAATTATTGTTCTCTTGATTATTGTTTGCCTGATGTGTTTCTAGCACATCTCCGTGTTCCTAACCCTAAGCCTAACCCTAACTCTAATTTTATCAAGGGGTTTTCCCTGTTTCACTGAGGTTTTTCTTACATTGATTTAATTCTATGTCTGTGTCCTTTCAGTTTCTGATATTTTGGATTTCTGATAATTTTTGCTGATCTAAATTTCTAGTTGTTTTGAAATTATTTCAAATTGTCTATTGAGCCTGTAATTGTTCTTAGATTGTTATCCTGGAATCTTCTAAATTTATGTTTTTTTAAATGTTTTCCTTGATCTCATTGAGAATGAGAAATGTGTCTTTTGAATATCTTCTCAGGTAATTCTATGATTTATTTCTTAGGAAGATGTTCTTTTTATTTTTGCTTTTCTTTTTTCTTAATTCACTTTAATAGACATTTACAGAGGTTATGGATTTCCATTCATTCATTGCCACACTTTTCTCCCTGCCCACCCCTCCCACCAGTTCGCTCCCCCCTCTGAAAAAATTTTTTTAAAAAAATTCCTTCATTAATATACAATTCCCCTATCCCTTCCCCCCACCCCCCCACCCCAAGTATACTTCTCTATGCAACCTTAATTCTGGATTCCTGTGCTAACCATAATACTCAATCATATATCACCTCTAATCTGTTCTTTCCCTCATCTGTTTCAATACCACATACATAATTTATCCAGTTTTTTCTGTCATACCCTGATGTCAGACCCATTCTACAACAGTGGCACCATGCAGTATTTTTGCTTTCTTGTTTTGAGTCATTTTCTTTCATTTCTTTACATGATTTATCATTCTTTATTGTCACTGAGGTATTAGGTGTTATTTTATTTACTTATATACTTACTGACTGTATTTTTGTTTGTCCTGATTTTTGTTGTAGTTGTTGTTTTCCTTTGTTTTATCAGGATGGATGGGACAGGTGTCTGGCAGAATGAGAGCATTGACCACCTATCACCACAGGAGTGTGTTGGAAGCTAGGGAAAATGGCATGAGTATGTGGTCACCCCTAGTCATTGGTGTGGTGGGACAAGAGCACACGTTGGCATTCACCAGGTGTGTGGGGCAGCAGGCAGATATGACAAGCAAGGCAGGCATACACCACTGCCAATCATTTTCTGTTAACACAGCCTCACAAACTATGACTTACCAGAGGAGAGTGCCAGGTGAGGTGGGTACTCACTGCTACCGGTTATCTGTTAGTGTGGGAGAGTGTGTAGCCATGCATCTGAGTCAGGGTCAGAGGTTAGCCCACTCCTTTTGTTATTGGTCCAGTGGCACGAGGAAACAGCTGCTGCCGCTGACCATGGTTAGTTGAGGACAATGGGCGGGGCAGATGCCTGCCATTGCCACTTGCTGGCCCATTAGCATGGTGGCATGCCTTCCCACTTGCTGGGTGGGTAGAGCAGCTGGTGGGTCAGTGGACAGAGTGAATGAATGTTATCAGTCATGAGTGGGACGAGGCTAAGTGAAGGGGAAGGGGGCTTACATTATGGTCCTTCTTGGGTAGACAAGGTGATAAGGGAAAGGCTGGTCACTGGGTGGGAAAGGGAGCTCCACCGGTCATCAAAGATGGGCGCTGGAATACTTCCAGTAGGTTATCCCCAGCGGTGAGGGCCTTCCCCTGACCAAGTATGAGTTGAGGAGCATCCAGCACCTGGTCTAGTTGGAGGGATACTGCTCATGCTCTATTGATCTCTGTGGCCTGCTCACTCCCAGTGGTCAGGGACCACCCATGGAAGGTGATTATATCTTCTTCCCTGCTCTGAGATTTCCAGGATACATTTGTCTTTCTGTGCTTTCTTTTCTTAGATCTAGTGTCCTAGCTCTACTCTGGATTTGCTTGCATAGTTTGTTTACTATGGAGAATCCCATGAAGTTGCCTCCCTTCACTCCTCACCCTGTAGGCATTGCTTGCTTTTCCTCACCATGGCCAACTGGCAGGGTATCTCCAATATGTAACTCTTCTAGTTTGTTGTGTTTATTAAATTTCTCTCTCAGGCTGGTGTTCATTCTAATTCCTCATCATAGCTGACTCTCATTGGTTTCCACAGCTGTAAATCTCACAGGAGAAGATTGTTCATCTTTTTCCTAAGGAGTTGCCACTCCTTCTGCACTAAGGCTTCAGAGCTCTTCTTCATACCACTGGGTTTCCTTCACTGTTTGGTAATCCTTAGTAGTTCATTTTGTATGAGTGAACTATTGGGCTGATTAGTTCAAGCAATCAATATGGATCTTTTAAGATAGGTAGCAAACTTTCCTAGTAATTTTTATCATTCACTAAAGAATATTACAGTCACTTTTCATGCATCAGAGTTGGAAGCATATAAGGAGAATTGATGCCTTTGAGCTGTGGTGCTAGAGAAGAGGTGTTGAATATACCATGGACTGCTAGAAAAACAAACAGATTCATCCTAGAGAGGTTTAAACCAAGCTACTCCTTGGAAGCAAGGATTCTGGGGCTTCGTCTGACATACTTTGGAAATGTTGTAAGGAGGGACTGACTGGTCCTTGGAAAAGGATATCATGCTTGCTAGGGTGGAGGGAAAGCACAGGAGGGGAAGACCCTCTATGAGGTGGATTGATTCGGTGACTGGGGTACTCGGGATGGGTGTTCTGTGGCAGTGCAACTGGCACAGGATAGAGCACAGTTTAGGGCTGTTGTACATAGGGTGGCTATGAGTTGTAGGCAACTCACCAGCACATAACAACAACAACAACAACAACAAAGAATATTGTTTACATTTTGGTTTTTAAAAAAATTCTGTCAGAGAAGTCACATTGTATGTCTGTTTCTGCCTTTGCTTTCTGTTTATGCTATATTGATGAATATATTGCTGAAACACATTTAATTTTTTTCATTGCTGCTTTGGTATGCAAATATACTACCACCCTGTTTGCCCGTGTTCCTACACATCAACATATTTTTCCCAAGGAGGCTCTGGTAGAGTGCCCTCTATCCTCTATCTCTGTCTGTCTGTCCCTTTACAAACACACACACACATACACGCACACACACACTTTTCTCTCTCTGCTATTAAGAATGGTTCCATTCACAGGTTGAAGGTTGATCCCCTCTATTCCTAATATACATTACAATTCACTTTAAAAGAAAAGCTGGAGTCAAATATTGAGAATGATAGAGTCATGTAAACTTATCTAGAGTCTTGTTAAAATGCCTTGGATAAAAAAAAATACCCAACAGAGACAGATCTCTAGCAACAATGATCTTAAAGGAAAATTCCAAAACCTATAGTAAAATTTTAAATGAACATAACAAAAACAAAACAGTAAAATTTACAATTAAAGAATGGAAAATAAACTTCAGATTTACTGACAGATAAGAAGACTGGACTTTGGTGAGATTATGTGACTTTTCCAAGGTAATAAAGAACTGAGTGATCTGTCATTAAGGAGCTCTGGTGGCACAGTGGTTAAGCATTTTGGTGCTAACTGAAAAATTGATGTTTTAAGTGCACCAGCCACACCATAGGAGAAAAATGGGCGGTCTGCTTCTATAAATATGTACAGCCTTGAAAACTCTATGAGGCACTGTTCTCTCTCCCATAGGGTCCCCAAAGATAGGAATTGATTTAATGGCAATCGATTTTGGATGTTCCACTCAGGCCATAAATATAATAGGACCAACCACATTGAACATGCCGTTACTCTCTGTAAGTAGCAGGTAAATGCAGACAATCTCCTATCACTCAACAGGTAAAAAACAGTCACTTTTTCTTCATCCTTGTTTCCCTGGAGCACTTTTCCCATTTCACCAGCCAGTTAGATCGTTGGAAGCATTGCTGTCTTAGAATAATTTAGCTTCACCTTTTGAAGTTAATGAAAAAGACGTATTGCTTAGAAACCATTTTGCATAAAATGGTTCAGTACTACTTTCCACAAGATAATTCTGGCCAAAGAGTAAGTCAAAAGTCATCACTAGACCCTCTTAAACAATAGCAGGAGTCCTTGGGTAGTACAAATGGTTAAGCCCTTGACCACTAGCCAAAAATACAGCAGTTCTACCTCATTTACAAAATGTTGTTTTGGGATAAAAGTCTGGTGCAGTTTTAATCTGCAAATATTGTGTCACCACAAGTCACAATGAACAAACAGCAACTAGTATGCATAGTGATGTTCCTCAGGATAGTACCAGCTGCTCTAGAATGAGGGTCTAGTCTGTTCTTACCTTAGCATTTTCAATGCAGGGACAGAGGGCCCATGCCGCGCTGGCCTTCACGTCTGGGTGGGGGTTTTTAAGCAATGACCACAAGAGCCGAACTCCATCTAATCTGTCAATTATCCTATTAGAAAACACAGGATATAAAAGATACGCATTCACAGGAATGAATGGGTGTAAACAAAAATTTAGATGATCTCACCTATTTATTTGATGTTAATTATCATTCTCTTTCGGACATTTTGCATGTTTGTTTTTGTAAAACTTTCAGAAAAGCAATAGTATTGCATGCTGTTGAGTGGTTGGTCTTCTGATTTCCATTTTTAAATTCATGACACAGCAAGCAAGCTGTGTGATAATTATGAGGCATGCAGACCTAAAATCAAGCCATGTCATTTTTTCTAATTAGCCAGACACCACCTCTTACCTAAATTTCAAAATACTGGCCCCATTCATATCGTTAACATCTAAATACTTTCCAAAACAAATATTTATGCCTTAAACCTTTGCAGTTACCTTTTTTATTTGGTCTAGGTTTACTTTACTCACTGTGCTGTATGACACATTTTAAACCCCTTCAGCCCTAATCTAACGTTAGGCATTAAAATCATTAAACCACACTGCATCCTTTGTTGGGCACGAATAACACATAACTTGTTTTCCATGTGTTCCCTTACCAGCGACTGACATCGCATACTGTGTTATAATTACTTAAACACACTGTAATCAAAATATCTTCATGACTAGCTGAAAAATGAATTATCATCAGAGTCATCTCTATGCCATCTGTCCTCTGTTTATATATCAATCAGTCTAGGGAGCATAACCTCCCATTAAGGTCCACTGAGTTCTTCCAGTGGAGAGGAAGGCCAAACAAAACTTAATATCCTTTACAAACATGGCTTTGTTCAGAAAGAGATGTTAAACTCAAAGCAGATGAAAAAAGATAAAGAACATCAAAATTCCTTTGATTTTTAATCTCCAGTTGAGCTAAACACATGTAGTTTTCAACCACAAATATGATAAATACTATTAGCTTTAAATGCCACTCAAATTCTTTCTTGAAAATTGATGCAAAAACATCTACGTTTCTTGATTATCTGAGATGAGTTTCCCAGAAAAAAGAGAAATGGGTTATTCCAAGGGTTCCAAGTAGAATATCAGCTTTGCATAAAATGATGATGCAAATAACCCATATAAAATATAAACTCCCTTGTATATTTTTTAAAAAATTACATTTACTAAGGGGAAAAACGCAAATGCATTGAGAAAGTATTTTAACCTGAAGTTTAACTAAATGTTTTTCATGACCTGAAGTTTTCTGTCATGTGATTTGGAGACAAACATCTTCCTTCTTAATTATAAAATCAGCTTATATGACGATGACTAACAAAAAAGTTACACAATCATGAATTTACTCTAAAAAATCAAGTTAAAGTAGCCGACTGAAGATGTAATTAAGCTATCCTCTGGGTCTCTGAGGAACTGTGGTAGCATAGTGCAAAGCATGTCAGGCTGACAATGCAAAGGTCAGCAGTTTGAATCTGCCAGCCACACCTTTGTAGAAATATATGCTGTCTCGTACTGGAAAGATTTACAGCCTTAGAAACTCGATGGAGGGTCATGATGAGTCAAACTCATTTCAACAACAGTAGGTTTGAATTTTATGGGTCTGTGTGCATTTTCTTTTCATATTTCAAGCATATAATGAATGATGGTTTGACCTACTCTCATAAATTTAATAGTAAAATTTACATTTTTGTTGTTATGTACCGTGAAGTCAGAACTGATTCAGAGCGGACCCTCCAGCAGGTTTTCAGTGGGAGTTAAATCATATGGAAGGAAATTGCCCATCTTTCTCCCATAGAGCAGCGGATGGGTTTGTACCACATACCTTTGGATTGGCAGCACAATTCCTTACCACTAAGTCAACAGAACTCCCTCTCATATATTTATCAGTAAAATATGTGTTAGTAATATTTAACCACATGCTGCTAGACATCATTTCTCATTAAAGTAGAAATCATTTGGAAGGCATTCCTTTTCTGGTTAACAACAGCGAAAAGAATACAGTTCTGGACTACGACCCAGGCAAAATTTCACAATTAATCACACACACACACACACACACACACACACACACTTTGTATTGTAAATCTAGTGAAAAATAAATCTACTTGTTTCCACTGCTTACCCCAAATCATAGAAAATTTTAACAGTTGCTTAGTTCAATGACAAGAGATTTCTCCCCATTAACAAACAACAAAACAGAAATCCAGGGAACTCAGGTAGCACAGTCTATAATGTGTTTTGTTGCTAAATGAAAGGCCAAGCTTTTTCAAAGGGTTAATTTCACCAGTGGGTCAAGAGAAAGCTGAACGAGTAGTCTTTTTTCTCTTATGATTATATCCTCAGAAACCCTGCTCAGGGTTGCTGTGAGTGGAGACTCACAGAGAAGAATTATTGCTGTTAGGTGCCATCAAGTCAAGTATGACTCATAGTGACCCCATGGACAAAAGATCCAAAACCTTTTCTATCCTGCGCCATCCTCACACTTCCTGACACATAAGAGCCCATTGCAGCAGTCACTGTGTCAATTCACCTGGTTGAAGGTCTTCCTCTCCTTTGTCGACCCTCCGCCCTTCCCAGCATCATGTCCATCTCCAAGGAGTAGCACCTCCTAGCAACATGCCCAAAGTATGTGAGGTATAGCCTCACCATTCTAGCCTCCAAAGACTACTTCAGCTGCACCCTCTCCAAAACAGGTCTGTTGCTTACTTTCAGCTAGGATCCTGGTGCCACAACCTCATCTAAATCTCACTTGAACTTATGGCAGTTTCCTATCTATGTTACTGTTCTAGCTGGTTTTTTGTTGGTTTATTTGTTGGGTTTTTTTCCCCCTAGCTGTTTTTGAGTGATCTTCAGCAGTATTTTGCTTGCATGTGGTATTAATGATATTGTTTGATATTTCACATTCAGTTGGATCACCTATTGTTAGATACTATCAAACAGACTATAACCCACAGCGACCCTGTGCACAACAGATCTGAACCCTGTCCTATCCTATCCCAGCCTCACGATTTCTTATACACTCAAACCCATTACAGCAGTCACTGTGTCAATCAATGTAGAGGGTCTTCCCCTCTTTCACTGATGTTCTCCCTTTCTAAGCATGATGTCCTTCTCCTATCAACATGCCCCAAGTATGTGAGACCAAACTTTATCATTTTTGCCTCCAAGGAGTACTCTGGCTGCATTTTTTTCCAAGACATATTTGTTTGTTCTTTTGTCAGTCCATGAGATATTCAGTACTCACCTCCAACACTACTGTTCAAAGACATCAATTCCTCTTCTGTAATCCTTATTCATTGTCGAGCTCTGAAGTAAATATTAAGTGATTGAAAAGAATATTGCCTAAATCAGGGACACCTTAGTCCTCAGACAGACATCATTGCTCCTCAATAATTTGGAGAGGTCTCTGACTTGTGACTTTCCCAAAACAATACATTTCCTGATCTCCTGACTACTGGTACCAAGGGTATTGATCTTGGATCCCAGTAAGATGAAGTTGACCATTTCAGTCTTTCTTTCATTTCGAGACTTTCCCCCCCTTGAGATGCAGTCCATATTGGAGGGTACAGTGCTTAACCTTCTACAGCAAGTGCTTCAAGTCCTCCAAACTTTGAGCAACAAAGATTGTGTCATCAGCATAATCAATGTTATTGATGTGCCTTCCTCCAATCCTGATGCCACATTCTTCTTTGTAGAGTCCAGCTTCTTGGATAATTTGCTCAGCATACACATTGAAAAGAGAGGATACACCCTGCACACACCTTTCTTAATTATAAACCTTGTAGTGTTCCCTTGCTCTGTTTTGTACAACAGCCTCTTGGTCTAGGTGCAAGATTTGCATGAGCACAATTAAGTGTTTTGGGATTCTTCTCAATGTTAGCCATAACTTGTTGTGATCCATACAGTCAGATGCCTTTGTATAGTCAGTAAAGCACAAATAGACATTCTTCTTGTATTCTTTCAACCAACATATATCTCGTATCAGCAATGATATACATAGTGCAATAGCCTCTTCTAATTTCTGTTTCAATTTCTGGCGGTAAAGTAGAGTGGAATGGTAACACAGTAGAGAAGTAACCTTGAATCAGAATTTTTTTTTAAATGCAAGAACTAAGAAAGTTGGAGGTAGCATCAGAAAACATCAGTCAGCAAACTTTTAACCATGTCCTTTTCTGTTCTTTACCCCTATATCAAATGAGTCAATTCTGGGTTTTAGTCACTGTAGTTCAGTCATCTGTTCTAGTTTCTTTCATTCTCACTGACAGCACCCAAGTCCCTTTACTACTATCAATGACGTGTAGTCAGTAGAGAGTTATGCAGTACTTCTCTGCCAATCTGAACCACTAGCAGCTCCCTGGGAGACAGGTGGGCAGTAATTTCCCATGTGATTTACAGGCTTGGAAGCCTAGTTGGGGGTCAGCTATAAGTTGACCCCAATATGATGACAATGAGAGAGAGAAATCAGCAGCACATACCACATGGACTGCCAGAAGAATGAAAAAGTCTTAGAAGAAATCAGACATCTGAACCACTTTTGTTCCACCAGCTGCTGAGAATTTGCCTTTTCACTCTCAAAAAAAACAACAACAAAAAAACAAACTCAAATTATAATATGCAAACTTTCAAATCATGATAAATAAAAATTTTAAAAGACATATATATTCTGGGCCGAGCAGGGCGAGGTGGCAGGCGCCGGGTGGCGCGGCCTCGGACTGTAGCCGTGTCAATGTGTTATGATGCCGTCTCGTACCAACCTGGCTGCTGGGATTCCCAGTAGTAAAGTGAAATACTCAAGACTTTCCACAGACGATGGCTATATTGACCTTCAGTTTAAGAAAAGCCCACCTAAGATCCCTTACAAAGCCATTGCCCTTGGCACTGTGCTCTTCTTGATCGGCGCCTTTCTCATCATCATCGGCTCCCTCCTGCTGGCAGGCTACATCAGCAAAGGGGGGGGAGGGGCAGACCGGGCCCTTCCAGTGCTGATCCTGATCATTCTGGTGTTTCTGCTGGGCTTCTACCACCTGCGCATCACCTACTACGCGTCCAAAG